AGAGTAGGTATGAGAAAAATTGACCCATTTATTTTTAACCAATGGATCACACGTTTTAAACTGAAGAACATTATACAATTTAATAAAATAACTAAAATTAATTAGAAGACCCTGAAAAATAAAACATAATAAAAACAAAATGTACTTTTAAAGTGTAAAATAACAATGCAAAATCACTTTGGTTATTGTTTTACTACCTGTCAGCCTGGTGCTGCTTTATGGTGGAAAAAACTGAAGGTCGGGACAAAACAAAACCCCACATTATTGTCTGTTCAAAGTTAAGAGTCCACAGCTCCAGTTTTACTGACTGTAACTAAAACAATGTGATCATTGCACTTAATCTTCACTCAAACAAGTGTGTAAACAGATTAAACATCACTCTAATAACTAGAGCAAAAAATAAATGGTAAGAATTAGTCCGTTATTTAAATTGATAGCTACCTTTCTTACTGCTGGATTTCCGCTTTCTACAGTCTGAGCATCATGTGGAGATCAGCCTCTCGCTCCTGCAGGGAGCAGTTTTTATCACTGCTCTTGTCATGTCACGCTTATATTTCAAAACAAAAGCTGCGCTCTCTTTCTTCTGTCCATCGACCCAGAGCTAATCCACGGGATGTCAAAACTGTAAGCGTGCTGTCCTCTCTTCTGCCAGCTTAGAACCACCGACCGGACCAGAGAGGAGGTTCTGAAACAGCGCGGCTGTGTGCGGTCACTGGACCAAGGCTGAACGAACCGAGCCGAACCGCAAAGCTGCTGCCAGGCTGGAGAGTAGTTGTCGCTCCGGTTTAAAACGTTCACGGTTCTGTTCCCCCTCGGAAAGTTTGTGCATGACAACTTTGCACTTAGCTGCAACTCTGTTTCTGATGAAAATAGAAAGTCCTGCCGACATTCTTGCTAACTTGTTAGCGCTGCATGTTGTTGTGATCACGTGAGCTCTGCATGCTGGATCCAAGCGCTGCTGAATAGAAACACTGGAGCGGAGTCAGTGGACTGCTGGTACGGAGCGCTTATATCGGAGCGCTTATATCGGACATTTTTTATGCAGGCCGATAAAATCCGATACTCATTTTTTGGCTGATATCGGACCGATATCCGATATCAATATCGGATTGGGACACCCCTAATTTTTAATGCGTTTATGGAGTTTGTTATTAAAAGCAACTTGCCCCTCTATAAACTCATTTCCATAACAACTGATGGCGCTCCAGCAATGACCGGTCACACCAGTGGATTTGTTGCACTCTGCAAGCAGAATGATGCTTTCCCAGACATTTTGAACTATCACTGCATAATCCACCAATAGGCACTATGTGGGAAGATTTTAAACATGAAGGAAGTGATGGATGTTGTCATGAAAATTGTCTGCTCTATAAGGCCCAGGAGTCTGCAGAGGAGGTTGTTTTGGGCTCACTTGGAGGAGGCAGGAGCAGACCACACAGACCTACTGCTGCACATGGATGTCAGGTGATTAAGCAGAGGTAAATTTCTGGCCAGATTCAGTGAGTTTTTGCCTGAGATCAGGGATTTTCTGAAGCTGTCAGGCCATGGTGAACATTCAAAACTAGAGGACACCCAGTGGCTTTTGGATTTAGCCTTCCTCACAGATCTCACCAGCCTGCTCAATGAACTGAATTTGGAGCTTCAGGGAAAGGACAAAAATATAATCCACATAAGTTCTGTGAGCACCGTCAAAAGCAGGCTGCAACTTCTCACGAGTCGGCTGCAATGCAGGGACCTGCGAAACTTTCCATAAGTGGAGGCAGAGCTACAGCGTCAAGGGAAAGATGTCACACAACTGAACATCGTACACTATACTAAGCAGGTTCAGAGCATCTCATCTGAATTTGAGAGACGATTTACTGACTTTTCCTCCATCGAGCCTGTTACCAGCTACATGTGTTATCCTTTTGGAAACGTTGATGTGGATGACATTTCTGTCCAAATTGGTGTCCGTGTTTCTGCTGGACTGCTCTGGTGTTGAAAATGAGGTTTTGACTCTGCAAAATCACATTGGGATTAAATCCAGAGCAACACCTGGCATGGATGGAGAGTTCTGGAGTCTGCTGTCAGAGGAGAAGTTTCCTAACATCCGAAGATGTGCTTTGAACTTGAAAGCACTTTTTGGATCTACCTAACTGTGTGAGTCAGCTTTTTCAGACATGAAAATCAGCAAGTCCAAGAACAGATCCACAATGACTGATTATCATCTGGAGACCTGCCTGCGCCTCTCATCCACCTCATACTGCCCACCTATGAGACCCTGGCCTCCTCCTCTCAGTGTCAGAAGTCCCACAGAGGTAGAGAACATTTATTTTTATATAACTTAAACAAAAAGTTGTGTCCTTGTTACGTCTGTTGTTTTCTTTTTATTTCATTTTACACTAGACTAGTGTGTTATACACTACCTGGCACCTTCGTGTTATTATTTATTTATTTTGCAGTTTGGGTGTGCCCTTGTTTTCTGTACCTAACGTGGCTGTGTGAGTGTTTGTGTGTCTTGTCTGATAGGTGGTGAACCAGGTGGGACACTCTGAATGCTTTGGAGCCGGCAGTCTGGACCAGTGAGGAACTGAGCCCTTCAACACCTGCAGATGACACCATCCTGCATGCTGAACAGAGAGCCAGCTGTTTTGTTTTGATATTTAGGTTTTATTGAGGTTTGAAATAGTTGTTTCAGATTTGTGAATCTGCACCTTTATAAGACACTTTTTGTAAATAGTGAGTTTTACACATGGGAGTTTTATACAGTATTGTGTGCTTTGACTTTGAAAAAAAGGGCGGCACTCTTGTGGTAGCCATGTTGACCCTGATAGTTTTTTGTTTTGTTTTTCCTCCCCTGTATGGAGAGAAGAGAGGAGAGTTATTTGAATAAACGGAGACAAGTTCCCATGCTCCAAATTTATTTAACTCTGGGTTCTCTCACTGGGCAGGTTTACAGCCCTCATAGCTCGCACGTTACAGTGAGTACTAATTGAAGGAGATAAAAAAAATTATCCTTTTTGTTCGAGCATCACTTTTCTGTTTCTCTGTCAGGAGTTAAGTAAGGATTTTATCTTTTCTTTTGTAGGTACAGTAAATATATGTTTAAGTAGATACAGTGGGGAGAACAAGTATTTGATACACTGTTGATTTTTCAGGTTTTCCCACTTGCAAAGCTTGTAGATGACTGTAATTTTTATCATAGGTCCTCTTCAACTGTGAGTGATGGAATCTAAAACAAAAATCCAGAAAAATACAATGTATGATTTTTAAATAATTAATTTCCATTTTATTGTGTGAAATAAATATTTGATCATCTATCAACCAGTAAGAATTTTGGCTCTCACAGACATGTTAGTTCTTCTTTAAGA